CAGCCATTTCAGTGAGCAGCCCTGAGGAAGAGCAGCTTTACTATGAGAGGAGTTAGTTAGAACAGAATTTTTCCCCAGTTGACCAATGTAAGCTGGCAAGCCTACCTAGAAGAGGAAGAACTTTAAAACTTTACATCTATTTCATCAGCACACCTTATTTTACCCGGAATAAACTCCACCACTGACCTCTGCTCACTCCACCACCAACACCCTAGCCCAAGCCCCACTGTCCCTCACCTGTACAGGCCCCTCAACGCTGCTACCTCCCAGACTGTTCTCCACAGGCAGCCAGAAACAGCCTCTAAACTGTCAACCAGATCCTCTAAGATCAGGAATGAGACAAGGATGCCCACTCTTGCCACTTCGATTCAACACAGTACTGGAAATTGTAGCCATAGCAATTAGGAAAAAAAAAAAAAAAAAAAAGGCAAATTAAAAAAAGGAAGTAAGTTTATCCCTGTTTACATGTGAAGGTGACATGATCTTATAGGTAGAAAACCCTAAAGATTCAACCACAACAACAAAAAAAACCTGTTAGAACTAGTAAATGAATTTAGCAAATTGCAGGATACAAAATCATCACACAAAAATCAGTGCATTTCTATACACCAACAATGAACAATCCAAAAAGGAAATTAAGACAACAATCCTATTTGTAATAGTAGCAGAAAGAAAATAATATTCAGGAATAAAACTTAGGAGGCAAAAGGCTTGTACACTAAAAACTACAAAATATTGCTGAAAGACATAAAAAGACACACACAGAAAAATGGAAAAACATCCCATGTTCATGAATTGGAAGACGTAATATTGCTAAGCTGTCATACTACCCACAGCAATCTACAGACTTAATGCAATCTCTCCCGAAATTCCAGCATTGTTTTTGTCAGAAATAAAAAAATCTATTCTAAAATTCATATAGAATCTCAATGAACCCTAAATAGCCAAAATAATCTCAAAAAAGAGGAACAAAGTTGGAGGTCTCACATTTCCTCATTTCAAAGCTTACTACAAAGCCACAGCAATCAAAACAATGGGGTGCTGGCATAAAGACAGACATATAGATTAACGGAATAAAATAGAGAGCCCAGAAATGAACATTTGTGTGGATGGTCAAATACTATTTCACAAGGGTGCCAAGACCATTCAGTGGGGAAAGGATGGTCTTTTCAAGAAATGGTGCTGGGAAAACTGGATATCCATATGGAAAAGAATGAAGTTGAACTCTTATCTCATACCACACACAAAAATTAATTCAAAATAGATCAAAGACAAAATATAAAAACTAAAATGATAAAACTTTTATAAGAAAACATACAGCAAAATAATGTCTTTATGATATTGCTTGGCAATGACTTCTGGATGATCACACTGAAAGTCAAGCAACACAAGACCAAATGAGTAAATTTTACTACATCAAAATGTAAAACTTTTCTGCATCAAAGTACACAATCAACAGAAAAAACTCAACAAGTCAACTCATGGGATGGGAGAACATATTTACAAATCATATATCTGATAAGGGGTTATTATTTAGTGTATATAAAGAACACTTACAACTCAAAAACACAAAACCAACAATTCCGTTTAAAAAATGGACAAAGGACTTAAACAGACATTTCTCCAAAGAAGACATTCAAATGACCAATAAGCATATTAAAAAATGCTTAATATAACGAATCACTATGGAAATGCACATCAAAATCAGGTATCACCTCACATCTTCACATATCATTATGATGCCTACTACCCAAAAAAATGGAAATACTGTGTGTTGTTGAGCATGTGGAGAAATTGGAACCCTTATGCACTGTTAGTGGGAAGGCAGAATGGTTCAGCCTCTGCAAAAAGCAGTATGGTAGTTCCTCAAAAAATTAAACATAGAATTACCATAAAATCCAGCAATTCCATTACTGGGGAGATACTCCAAAGAACTGAAAGCAGAGTCTCAAAGAGACATTTGCATACTCGTGTTCACAGCAGCATTTTCCATAATAGCCAAAAGGTGGAAGCAACCCAGGTGTCTATCAATGGATGAATGGATATACAAAGTGTGGTCCCTCCATACAATGGAGTATTATTCAGCCTTAAAAAGGAAGGAAATCCTGACAAAAGCTACAACATGGATACATCTCAAGGACATTATGTTAAGTGGAATAAGCCACACACCAAAGGATAACACTGTATAATTCCACTAACATTCAGCACCAGAGTAGTCAAATCCATAGAGACAGAAAGTAGAAGAGGGGTTGCCAGGGACTGGGGAGAGGTGAGTGGGAGTTGGTGTTTAATGAAAACAGAGTTTCAGTTTGGGAAGATGAAAGAGTTCTGGAGATGATGGCAGTGGCGGCTGCACAGCAGTGTGGTTGTCCTTAATGCCACATACACTGAAAAAATGGTTAAAATGGCAAATTTTATGTTATGTGTGTGTTTGCCACATACCCCCAAAAAATCAGTCAGACTATGTGACATATCTGCTCTCAGCCCTCACTCAGAATACAATCCAAATTCCTTCTTCAGTGGAGCGGGCCTCACACTCCAGCCACAGGGCCCCTCCTCTCTTACGAGCCCAGCATGTTTCTGCCCTGGGCCCCTTGCAGTCACTCTGTGTTCCCTTCACAGGCTCTTCTCCCTGGGCATTGCACGGCTCATTCCCACATTTAACTAAGGACTCTGCTCAATCCTCACTGCCTTTGGCCACCCTATTAAAATAGCACATCCCTCCAACCCCATAGCACACCTTACTTTTCTTCATGAGTTTCATCAGTGCCTGGGATTATCTTAACCACCCGTTTATCCACTCATTACTTGTCTCCTGCAGTGAAATGTGCACTCCATGCAGGCATGGCCTTTGCCTTGCTCACTGCTGTGTCCCCCCGGGCCTAGAATAGTGATGGCCCATAGCAGAGTCCAGGAAAGAGGAGTCCAACAATGAATGAATGGATAACGCCATACAATATCTGTGTTGGTGAAATTGACAGAGGTGGTAGAATTGAGGGTGACTGATGATGGAATGAAGCTCCCACAAGATCTCGACAGTCAATATGCTGGGCTAAATGACTAAGATGAAGCTTAGCAGGGGTGCTAAGGCTGCCCTTGGGGCAAAAGCCCAAGTGAGTACAGGACGAGGAAGAAACTGCTTCACAGCAGCTGCACAACTAGCAAACACTTGGAAGCTACAAAATGGTGTGAAGCTCACAGGGGGATCGATGGACCTGCAGAAACACCCCATGATCTCAGGCTGCATGGGGTGGCTGGACAGGGGGCTGGTGTGCTCTGCCTGAGACCCCCATGGGGCAGCCCTGTCAGTCCTGCACTTTGCACTGAAACAGTCAGAGGTTATTCAAGTACCTCTTGACCATAGGGACCAGGATGGCAAAGGCATTCCAAATTACATCCTCAACAATACATAGTTTCAAATAGCTCAAAGGAGGATATTGAACATTCCCAATACAAATAAATGATAAATGTTTGAGATGACGGATATGCTAATTACCCGGACCTGATCACTACACATTACATGTATAGAAGCATCACTATGTACCCCATGAATATGTACAACTTTTATTTGTCAATTAAAAATTAAAAATCATATTCTATAAAAACTAATAGAAGGAATGTTTAGCCCATAGATGGTAGATTTGGGAGCCAGACAGAACTGAATCAAATTCTGGTTCTACCTTTTATTAGCTGCAGGACACATGCAGAATTCTTAACCTTAATAGTCTCTAGTTGTATGGCTGTCAAGGCCAATGTCGTAAAAGGTAAAATATAACTGTTTGATTTTGTAGTTATACACAAAGGCTTGTACTGTGTCCTGTAGAAAACTTGAAGAGTCATCCCTTAAAAATATACATCCATAGTCTTTGCTGAAATTGCCAGTGAAATGTACTTTATCAGGGTCCCAATATCATGTACAAAATGTAGCATGGAAACTTAATGCCCACTTTTTATAAATGCTTATCTATAGATGGGCATCCCAATTTGAGGCAACACATATATGATCAGAAGTAGGAGTGAATATAAATGATGGAGTATCATGATAGTAGAAACAGATAGAATATTTAGAATAGAAACAGCCCTAAATGAATAACAACTCGTGTATCTCTTCTGCTAGATTGATCATAACCTAAAACAGTTCTGTTCTGGATGATCTTGGTAAATCATATGCTTGCATCGTGACTGAAATCATCTTGAAAAACGTTGTTTTTAAAGAACCTAAAAGCTGGGAGTGGGGGCTCATGCCTGTAGTCCCAGCAACTTGGGAGGCCAAGGCAGGAGGATCACTTGAGGCCAGGAGTTTGAGACCAGCCTGAGCACCATAGCAAGACTCCATTCCCACAAAAAAATTAAAAACTAACTGGGCGTAGCTGTGGATGCCTGTAGTTTGAGCTACTCAGGAAGCTGAGGCTGGAGGATCACATGAGCCTAGGAATTGGAGGTGGTAATGAGTATGGTCTCACTATTGCACTCCAGCCTGGGTGACAGAGAGAAAACCTGACTCCAAACAAAAAACAAAAAGAAAAAGCAAACAAACAAAAAACCCTGTAGGTGGTACCCTTCAAAGGTGTTCCTTTTGGGATACAAAATTAATTTGGATCCCCAAATACAAATTATTTTGTATAAATTGGGGCACCTCAGGTTCTACAGTGGAATCGCTGCAGTGGCTGATAAGGAGGACACAAAACAAGAGTCCTTTCACTGGGATTTAAATGCTGGTTTTCCTCATCATGGGTTTGTCCTTCATGGCTCCAGCCTTCAGTGGAGTCAGGTACAAGCAAGTGATGACTTGCTGATGAAAACACTGGACAATGCAGTCTGGATTTTTTTTATAAAAGTAGAAATATCAGAATGTGACAACTTAGAGTGACCATATAATTTATCAGCCAATTGGAATACTTTAGAGAGTGAGGGAAGCAGGAGAGGGTGAGTATGAACAGGTACACTGGGACTACAAACGTAAACCAGCACTGAGCTTTGTCACTGCTGTGGCCAAAGCCATGAGGATATTCAGGCTTCAGAAGAGGCTCACCACGAGTGCCCTCCACGGTAGCAAGAAGGTCTGGCTTGACCCCAGTGAGACCAGCGAAATCATCAACGCCAACTCCCATCAGCAGATCCGGAAGCTGATCAAAGTTGGGCTGATCATCCACAAGCCTGTGACTGTCCATTCTCGGGCTGGATGCCAGAAAAGTACCTTAGCCCGCCAGAAGGGCAGGCACACAGGCACAGGTTAGCTCAAGGGTACAGCCAATGCCCAAATGCCAGAGAAGATCACTTGGATGAGGAGAATGAGGATTCTGCACCAGTTGCTTGGAAGATATCGTGAATCGAAGAAGATTGATCACCACATGTATTACAGCCTGTACCTGAAGGTGCAGGGGAATGTGTTCACAAACAAGCAGATTCTCACGGAACACAATCACAAGCTGAAGGCAGGCAAGGCCCACAAGAAGCTCCTGGCTGACCAGGCTGAGGCCCGCAGCTTTAAGACCAAGGAAGCACGCAAGCTCGGTGAAGAGTGCCTCCAGGCCAAGAAGAAGGAGATCATCAAGACTTTGTCCAAGGAGGAAGAGACCAAGAAAAAAAACTTCCCCTTTGTACGTCCTAACCACCATGATTACATAGATCAGCCATTAAAATAAAACAAGCCTTAAAAAAGAAAAGAAAAGAAAAGAAAAACAGGACTGCCCTGAGAAAACTAGGACGTATGGTCACCCCAAGAGGAGTCCTTTCATGGGAATATGGCGTTGAGATACACAGGCCTGCCAGGAGCTGTTTCATAAGGATTCAGTGTTTTTCTTGTGCAGAGGAATGAATTTTGATGAGTATAAAAGATGAATGAGAGGACCAAGACATTCCAATTCCACCCACTAGATTAGCCAGTTTGGTTTTTGACAGTTCTGTCCCTCTGTTTTACATTTTCCAGGTTTGGGAAATGCAGACATAGATATGGATAGTAACATTTTTAAGTGACTCAGTAGCCCACCTGATAGCCACAAGAGCTTGGCATGGGTTGAAGGTATTCTTTAGGTGGGAACCAGTGACAAGCTGTATGACTTTCTTTGCAGGAAGATAAAGAGGTACTTTGCTGTGGGGAAAAGAAAGAGAGATCAGCCTGTTACTGTGTCTATATAGAAAG